ATTTGGCAAACTCATTTCAACATTTTTCTACTAGAATAAGTCATATATACTAAAATTTAGTAATGGCTTTTAAAGCCACATATTAGGTCTATAATTCAAGTGTATTGAATTGCAATAAATTTAAGACAAATAAATAGTGCTTTCATTCTTTATTTACCTCTCCATACTTAGTACGAACATATCAAAAACTTAAAAATAATTATTTCTTGTTAATTTGTGCGTCGCTCTGTTTAGAATTAACTATCCTTGAAAGATTCTTTCCCCTTCTCATTAATTTTTGGCAATAGGCTTCACAATATGAGTATAGGGTTGTTCTCGAAGATTGAGTCGTGCAGTGTGAAAATGAAGAACTAATTTTATATTAATCACCATTAAAAGGATTGACGCACCTGTCTGGTCAATCTTATCTCTAACATCTAACTACAAATTTTTAACTTGTAAGTTGTTGGGGAAATTCATTTTGAAACATTTTGTCCTCTAATCTCACATGGCTGTTAATTAGATATTTATTTTACTAATTATATCTTCATCTTTCACATGGCCAAGTTGCAAATTCTTGATTCTTGCAACGTCACCTTGGATTTGCTTGCATTTTTTTATTCATTTTAATTCTAATTACAAATTCAAGAATCCAATTATAAAATTAACTAGCTCTAAAACATTCTAAAAAGTAATGAAACCAACAAGTAAATAATCACACACAAATAATGTAAACAGTAAAGAGAAAACGCACACACAATTTATTCTAATTCACCTAAAATCTAGATTATGTCTAACAGAGTTAGTATTATTGAAATATCTCATTAACCCACTTGTTACAATGAATATATTAACTTGTGATTTGCTAATATTACTAGGATTTCCTTTTCTAAGCTCAAATCTTATTAGGAGTTTTATTACTTTAATAAATTCTACAATGGCTCTTGACGGGAGGCCCAAACCTCTTAAGGGGTTTTTTTTTTCTTTTTTCTTTTTAAGTTATTAATTATTAGCGTCTGTGGTTCAATTTCATTTTCCTGTCGATGACAAAGGTTGTTTAACTAATTTTGTGAATACAAAATCCTGAATGGACAATTTTTTTAATGAAACGAAATAAATAATATAATTTGGAGTTTCACCAATAAACAAACGGTCCAAAATCAACGCTCAAATATGACACATTATACATCATTATAGATTGAATTTTTATTTTGGGTTGGCTAGCGACATTATATGAAGAATATAGCTAGGTATAAAAAAATGTTAAAATATTAAAATCTAGTACAATTATACGATTCCTCGTAAACAAATTTTAAACAGCATATTATCATACAATAACATCAATCACTATGTATCATCGATCTTTATGAAGAACAAATCCTAATACTGTATATAGGTAGCTTGAGCTTGAAGCTCTAAGGCTCCAACGGATATGGAGAGCAGCTTTAACTCTTGTGTATACAAATAAACTATGATCTTTTGAAAGAGATATACTCCACCTTGATTCGTTGCATGAATCGCATAGAGTTTCATTTTCACTTCTTTTTAGAAAGGTCAATGCTTCCACAATCGTTGTTGAAATTAAAAATAAAAAATAAAAACAAGATAACAAAAACAAATGTTCAAGTTAAAAGGCTGTACGGCGTCTTGCTTGTACAGATGTGGAACCCCACTGGTGATAAGTACGGTCTAGTTTAAAGAAATGTAAGGTTGAATATGACTTGATGATTTAGATAGACGTTATTTGTTGTGCATGACTCAACGCGGTTAAAGCTGTGAATCCAATTGATGCTTTGGAAAACATTAAATTTAATACAAGTTGATGAATAGTTCCTTTAGAGAAAGTGTTGATAAATTTCGGAAAGTTGTTTTCTGTCATCTCCTTGATTCTTGATGAATGAAATTAGTCCTTAATTATAATATAGTGCATCCAGATTGACATCAAGCTATGTATGTCTCAGCAGCCACATGTTTAAAAATATTATCTGTGTTCTAAAAATACTAAAAAACAATTTTGGGACATTTCGATTTTAAAATTGTTGTGCTGATCTTTTGGACGATCACATTCATATCACCTGTCCTTACACCATGTCGGGATCTTTTGATTGAGCTCATCCTATGTTTTGCCTCCACAACAAATGATTTCATCAGCAAACTCATTAATATTAAGTATGGGTGTTCAGACTTGAATATGAGAAGGTCTGACTCATATCCGGATTACAGGGAATTATAATGTAATTCATCACATAACAACCACTCCCAACCACTGTTAAAAGAAATGTATCAAAGGGAGACACCACCTCCGTCTTAGGGGAGAGATTATTCATACAAGAACAAAGAAACCACTTGGAGAGAGTTGAATCTCATTTTTACTTGTCTTTTTGCTTAAAACACTTTGTGTGTAAAGCAAATACAAAGTAATAATATATCAATAGACGTAAGCATTATTCTAATTGGCCAAACCACTTTAAAAACCGTCTATGTTCTTTTATCATCTTTTTACTAATCTATTTTTTAACTGATCGTTTTAAACCACATACATATCTTACCCAATCTTGTCGAACGTCAGATTGGACATCTTTGATTGTTATGTTTTTGCTTAACAACACAAATAATTGATTGTGTCAACTAAACAGTACACATATGAACTTCTCCTTTACTGCTAAACAGGTAATCCACCATCCTTAAATTCCAATTAAACTAAGCCTTAGTACTTCGTATATTTACAAAAGTTGTGATTAAAGTTTCAGATTGATCTTCAACCATCTAAATATTTCGTTTAACTACTCCTGCACCAAATATACAAGTATTCATAATCATAATTAAAACATAAATGACAATATTAATTAATCTTAATGATCATGTACCTCCACTAACTATAATGCGCCCGTTTTTCTTGCCATTTCATGGATTTAACAAGTCAGATATTTGTTTGGGCGGCCGGTGGAGGAAATTTTTTGTATTATTATATATAATTGATTAAGTCAGCAAATTGAAATGAACGAACGAGGGTAAGTTGGTAATGAAGTGACATAATCAAATGAATAAAGTGTAGTAAGTACAGCTGATGTGACAGACCGTACAAGTACCACAAAGACTAATTTCATCTTTTGGAAGACACTATAAGCCTCACCTGCATCAGTTGAATCAACTTTACATTTAATTTTTTAATTTTCAATGTCAAATTGTTAATATTGGACAGTTGGCCTACTATTGACAACCCTACTGCATCAACCTCCTATATTATCGGCTGAATTTCCTTCTTTATTTCCTTCTTTCCTGGCACAAAGGAAATTTGCTTCTTTGACTTTTGAAATATCTAATTACATTTTCTTTCTTTTTTTATTTCTTAGTTTCATTTTTATTATAAATCATATATTAAAAATTTGTATTTGTATTTGTGAAGTCATTCCCCCATCGTGAATATTTTTATCTGAATTTTCTTGTTTGACTTTTTCTAATCTATTCTTTGAGACTCCCACATGGTCACTTCTCTTTATTTTATTTATTCATGTTCTTTCCACCTAACTTCCACATGAAGGCACATAAATTTGCTTTGTATTTCCTTCGGTTTCTCTCTCTTCTCATCATTTGACTTTCACATAAATTAATTCGCAGAATCAATCACATTTGCTTTCCGTTCGTCCCGTCGTATATATCTTTTATTTTCATTCCATAGGAATCAAAGTTTTAGCATATATTGGTTCATCAATCCCTCTCTAATATAAATTTAACAATTTCTGGCCATAGAATAAATAATAGTTTCAATATGTATACAGTATATATGTATTCTGTCCAAAGCATTTTACATAGATTTAGATGCGTAATAGATATCGTCAATCTATAGTGTATTTGAATCCAATGAAAAGATTTAATTCTATAATCAAGGGCTCTGACAGACGCCAAAACTTATAAAAACAGGCCTTCATCCTTACGTTTGGGGCCTTTCCAACGTGATCAAATAACTCCATGTTAGTTTACACCAGTAGTTAATCTTCAGTAATAAATATATCAGTTTCTTGTAGATGTACGGATTTGTTTTGGTATATACCTAAATTCCATTGACTTCTTTGGTTGGAATAACGTACAAAAGTTTAGTTTTTTGTTGAAAATGAATTTTTTTTGCATATAACTGATTATATATGTGTATGGCACTCCAGGTCTATTTTCCAGTGTGGAGGAATAAATATTTTGTTACACACTCCCACCTGCAACAATGCTGCTCTTCTAGGCTTATTATAAAGCAGTGATAGGTTGTAAACACACGCCAACAAGCAGTCACCACTCACCACTACGCTTAGTCCTGTAATCTGTGAGTTGACGACTACAGCTCAAACTATAACTAGATAACTACAACACCATTATTTTATGCACTGCGTTTCCTTGTATATTTATGTTTCCCCTCTTTTGTTTAGTTGACCCACAACAGTTTCGGTTCATGTTTAACTTGATCATTTCAATACGTTTGGCCTCTTTTTAAATGTAAGTTCTAAAGAGAAATTAAACACTTCTTTTTTCTTTTTGTCAGAGGTAAAAAATTAGGAAATAATAATAAAAAAATATCCGAAATTAATTATACTTAAGCCCATTTATCTGATTAATTGAAAACTTGTAGAATTCTTTTCGGCCCCAACTTTCTTTTGCATGTCATTTATGGCATTTGAATGGAATATTCTTTAGTAAATTTATTTGAAATCAATAATATTTGAACCAAATGTGCTCGTTGGAGTCCACTAACTCCAGAATTCGTGTAGAAAGTAAACGAAGAAGTGTAATAGACAATATTATAATCTTGAACTAATTTACCTCGAAGGAAATAAAGGGTATTGGACCATTATCTCTCTCTCTCTCTCTCTCTTTCTGTATATATATATATATAATATGTGTATTTTTTTATTTGATTATTTATAAAAAAAATTCATACACCAATCCCGCGCATTTTATCATGTGCTGGGTATCTCGCGAGTTCTCTATAAATAGCAGGCGTTTCCATCCCCAATACATAACACAAAACATACCGTTGTGTGCTTTTATTGTTTCCATCACTCTCTTTTCTAGTCACTATTTCTTATTTTTTCTTCCCACAGAAAAATAAGAAAAAATGCCACAGAGTGAAGGTTCCTTTGGAAGCTCCATGCATGGAATAACCGGCAGAGAACAAACCTTTGCCTTATCAGTCGAATCGCCGGCTGTCCCCACTGATACAACTGCTAAATTTGCTTTACCAGTTGATTCTGAACACAGGGCCAAAGTTTTCAAACCTCTTTCCTTTGCTAAACCTCACATGAGAACCTTCCACCTAGCTTGGGTTTCGTTTTTCACTTGTTTTATCTCCACCTTCGCCGCCGCTCCCTTGGTTCCAATCATCCGTGATAACCTCAATTTAACAAAAACTGATGTTGGTAATGCCGGGGTTGCTTCTGTTTCCGGAAGTATATTCTCTAGGCTTGTAATGGGTGCAGTTTGTGACCTTATAGGGGCAAGATACGGCACTGCCTTTCTTTTATTGCTATCCGCCCCAACAGTCTTTTGCATGTCATTTGTGGCGGACGCACAGGGATATTTAGCCGCCCGATTTATGATCGGATTCTGTTTAGCAACGTTTGTATCTTGCCAATATTGGACGACAATAATGTTCAATGGTAAAATACTTGGACTTGTTAATGGATGTGCAGGCGGGTGGGGTGATATGGGTGGTGGAGTTACCCAACTTTTGATGCCTCTTGTTTTTCACATTATCAAACTAGCCGGTGCCACGCCCTTCACCGCCTGGAGGATTGCGTTTTTTATTCCTGGATGGCTTCATGTCATTACGGGAATTTTGGTCCTAACATTAGGCCAAGACTTGCCAGATGGAAACCTTGGTGCCCTACAAAAGAAGGGGGAAGTTAAGAAAGATAAATTCTCCAAGGTCAGTTTTGTCTAGGACTTAATTTCTTTATATATGATGATAAACTTTTTTTCTTTTTTTTTTTTTCACCAATAGATATGGAACTGATTTGTTCTTTTTTTTCAGGTTTTCCTATATGCCATCAGAAATTACAGAACTTGGGTCTTCTTTCTTCTTTATGGCTTCTCCATGGGTATTGAATTGACCACCAACAATGTCATTGCAGGATATATGTTTGACAGGTGAGCTAAAATATTATTAACTAATTTTGACACACAAAATCCAAGGCTTGAACTATTTCTAACCATAATTATTATAATATTGCATGTGTAAACAGGTTCAATCTTAAGCTCCACACCGCCGGAACCATAGCTGCAACCTTCGGCATGGCGAACTTCTTCGCTCGTCCCTTCGGTGGTTACGCTTCCGATGTGGCGGCTAGACTCTTCGGCATGCGTGGCAGGCTATGGGTCCTCTGGATATTCCAAACTCTAGGAGGCGTCTTCTGTATATGGCTCGGTCGAGCCAATTCACTCCCCATTGCAGTAGTGGCAATGGTCCTCTTCTCTCTCGGGACTCAAGCCGCTTGCGGTGCAACTTTTGGGATAGTCCCATTTGTTTCACGCCGATCATTGGGTTTGATATCAGGCCTAACCGGAGCCGGAGGGAACTTCGGGTCCGGATTGACCCAGTTGGCGTTTTTCTCGAGCCCAAGATTCAGCACGGGAACAGGAATCTCTTGGATGGGGGTAATGACTGTGGCCTGTACTCTTCCTGTTGTTCTTATCCACTTTCCGCAGTGGGGGAGCATGTTTCTTCCACCATCAGAAGACCCTGAGAAATCTAGAGAGGAATATTATTACACTTCGGAATGGACTGAAGAGGAGAAGCGTCAAGGTTTGCATGAAGGAAGCCTCAAGTTTGCGGAGAACAGTAAATCAGAACGTGGTAATAAACGCGATGTCGTTTCGGTTCCAACCCCACCAAATTCTACACCAATCCATGTTTAGGTCACAATATTAAACGTTAACTAGCATGATACTTCACCGCATAGAGTGAGTTGAAGTTGAACTAGCTATCTAGAATAAGTGAAAAATGGTTGTACAGTCATGTGTGGGAGTGTGTTTCAGTAAATTTTTTTTTTTCCTAAATACTTATTTATTGCAATCTAAAATTTTAGATATATTTTGATTGTAATATAATGAATTCAGAAGAAGTATTGATCTTTATGTTATCTGGTTAAGAATTGGATTGTTGTATTTCTTGTGGTAGAATCATATTTCTGTTTAACATAATCATACATCATAATCCAATATTATTGATTGGTTTAATTTGATAATTCAAAAAGATCAAAGAAAAACTAATTTAATTGGGTTATTATCAGCAAATTTCTTCACATATTAACAAAGAGATAATTAATGTTAAAATATAAGAGATCACTAATCATGAATTATTATAAATTTCTCAAAATAAAGGAATACATCCCATTAATTAAATGTTAATATTTTATAATATAGTTTTAATCAAAATCAAGTTATATAATATAGAAAACGTTAACATTAGACAGATGAAAATCCATTCAATTTTGAACAATGCATTTACGCGCCATATCTTTTTTTTTTTTCTTTTTTTTCTTTTTTATTAAATCATAAGAACAATAAATGTAATCACTAGGGTCATACCTAAAAATTTAATAAAATTCATAAGATTTAAAAACTGGGAAGATTCTTGGATTTAAGGAGAAGTTGACATTGTGTCTGATAAGTTATGCAAACTCACATGAAAAGTAAACGCACCTTTCGCCCGTACAGATCCAATTAACCACTTGTCTTTAGACTTCCATTAAACAAATCATTAATACAAGGATTATTATAAAATAATTAGATTAATCTTAAATATGTAGATTAATCTTAAATATGCTTAAACAATTATTAAAGGGTACTTTATAATACGGCACCAAGAAGACAGCGTTTTTCTTTAGTTTGGTTAACCTTTCTGAGCAACTGGCAAACACGTTGTAAGAAAAGTAACATAAATCAACAGGAGGAAGAAAAGTCATAAATATAGTAACATGCAAACTTCTCGCATCATTTAAGAGTCTGTATTTGTAATATATGAAAACTTATTTATAGTTATAATGCTGTGGCCAATTATAGTAAAACTTCTATACAATAATATTCTATATAAAAATAATTTTTATGTAGTCATATAAAATTTCAATCCCAACTTGAGATAGTTGTAAATAAGAATGATCTTTACATTATAATAAGTTATAATTTTTTCTGATTTTCATCTTAAGAAAGTTGCATCCACATAGTAATGATTATCTGTATATTGTAAAAAATTATATACTATATTACATTAAAGGTTTAAGATGAAATAAAATATTTATTTGAAGTTGTTTGAGATAATGATTTATACTTTACAGTTGTTATCACATTTTTGAACTTACGGGTATGTAATAACTCGTCAGCATAGACACTTGCAAGTAGTGCACATTTTACCTCTATACTACTTGCAATAGGGATAACTAAGTCAAAATAATAATTTTGTAAATACACTTCGATTAAGTTATAACTTCTCCATAGTAATAAATTAGTTTAGTCACACCATTATGATTATAGAAAGATTTTACTGTAATTTTATTACAATGAAAAGATTATAACATAGAGGTGTTTTTACAAAAATTATTGTTTTGATTTTTGATTTTATAATTTATGTTTTAGTAGTAAAGTATTACGATTTAAATTTATGTTTTAGTAGTATTAGGATTTTAATTTAGCGCTTCAATTGCCTACTTTTAAAACAGATAGAAGATTGTGTCTTACCAACGAAGATAGGTTAGCTTGATGAAATTGTAAATGTACCTGATGCATGGTCAATTGATGTGAAGTCACAAACAATTGTCAATTGTTTTAAGTACTATAAAATTAGGATCCCCAATGTCATAAATATGGTAACACGCAAGCTTCTTGCATAATTTAAGACTCTTTGTATGTATAGTATAGTACAATCTTTCTATAGTCATAATGGTGTGATCAACTAATTTTATTACTATAAGGAGGTTATAATTTAATAGAGGTTTTGTTACAAAAATTATTGTTTTGATTTCTTATTTCATAATACATGTTTTAATAGTATAATATTAGGATTTCAATTCATGATTTAGCAGTATTATAATTTGAATTCAGCGCTTCAATTGCCTACTTTTGAAATGGATAAAAGATCGAGTATTGGAACCAATAAAGATAAGTATCCTTGATGGAATTGTAAATGTATTTGTTATATGGTCAATTGATGTAAAGCTGTGAAAAATTATCAATTGTTTTAAGCACTGCAAAATTAGGACCTCTGATGTTGATAAATTGTAAGTTATAAATGAATTGGATAATGAGAATCAAAGAGTCATTGCATAATTGAGTGATTATATTCGACAACTTCACTACACTAATCAAATAGATATTAACGTCTTCCTCAATCATCTCAATGAGAAATAAATTATTTATATTTTAACTGAAGAATAAATCATTGTTACAATTAAACAAAAAGAGAAAGAAAATAATCCTGAGGATAATAGTATGGAGATACAAAAAGTTTCATGCCAATAAACTCTAAATATGCTTGAGAAACTAGAAATATTTTGGCTTCAACAAAAATGTGTCGATGTTGGCGAGTTATTACGTACCCGTAAGTTAAAAGAAGTGGTAACAACTCTAAAACATCAATCATTATTCTAAACAATTTTAAATAAATATTTTATTTCATCTTAAACATTTAATGTAACATAGCATATATATATATATATATATTACTTTATGAATGTAACTTTCTTAAGACAAGAATTAAAAAACTTATAACTTATTTCAATGTTAAATTTATTCTTATTTATAACTATCTCGATTTGAGACTATAATTTTGTATGACTACATAAAAATTATTTATATAGTATGAGTATTGAGAGGTTTTATTGTATTAATTTTTTCATAAAATATTAAAAACCTTTACCGTTGGAGGGTTATTATATTTACAAGGGTTTTTTTTTTTTTAATATTTTTGAGGTTTTATTATATTTTTCAAGTATTTTTGCTAATTTCATGGAAGTATCTAATACTCACTGAAAAATTAGATTAAGGACAAAAATCAGAAAAACTAGAAGCTTAACTTCCCACGGCCGTCGCAGGTAGTACAGGATCTTGAAGAAGAATACAAAAACCTGTAAAGATTAAGGACTGAGAAATATTGAGTCTCTGATTGAAAATTTTACAGGTATCCGTAAAGATTTAAACAGAATATAAAAGTCATTTGCCGCCACAGCTTACAGCAGTTTTGTTGCCGGATCCTACTGTTTGGATGATTTGGCCGCCTAGCAGCGATCACATGGCCTGACAACCGTGGTCTGGCAATCTATCGCCATTGCTTGGCCATATAAAGCCTGATTCGCCTGTTTGGCCATCACCTAGCCGTCTGCCCTCGATAGCGTGGCTAGATCGGGCCGGATCCGGTCGTTTGGTCGTGATCTAATTGTTTGGCGGTGATCAAGTGGCCAGATCTGGCTGATTGCCTGTGATCTCTTGGTTTTGTTTGGCTATTTTTCTTTGGTCTCAGTTTCAGGGTAATTCAAAATGCTGGCTGTAAGTTGCTAACTTTGTTGTTTTTGATTTTGTGTTTCTTAAGGTTATTTATTTGTTCGGTTTTCTTCTACAACTCTTTCCTTTTTGGTGATGTCTTGAGATCGTATATGCTGCCTTTGTTCCTCAATTTGACATGCTGCTTTTTTTTTTTTTTTTTTGTTTTTTTTTTTGGGTTCTCTTTAAGCGTGGCTCTTGGTTTTGATTTTTAAGTTGTTGTTTATTTGGTAACTTTTAGTGGTGATTTCATGTGTTAGTAGTTTCATCATTGTTTATTTCTTAGGTAAATTATATATGTGCGGGTCCATGGCTTTTTCTTGGTTTTTGATTTACATTTGAGTGGTAGAGATGTGTTATGTTTTACTTAAAGTTAAACTGCCCCAAGTTTACTGTTAACATATTCGTCTGTACCGATAACAAAGGGGACTCTTAAACTAGTCGAGCTTTCGAATGCCAATCCTAGGTCGGAACAACAAGAAGTTTCTTTGCTCCTGGCGTGGGCTTAGATTCGGAGTGGTGTGTATTACTTCGTAGCACCGCTTGATTCTCTTTCTCATTCAGCTTCTTAAAAACACTGCGGCTTAGCAGCGATATTACATATCTCCTTCCTCTGAGTACTAAGCAATTTTCTTTCTTTCATTCCTTGAGTGATCTTCTTAATGAGGGGATTTCCTAGCTCATCTTGTAGAGTGTATTGGTTGAGTCCGACTTGTATTAAAAAGACTGGCTGGCTTAACTTTGAGGTGAGGTACTTCTATTTGTTTCATGCTGGGGTTCAATTCAATCCCTTTATTTTTTTACATATAATCGTCAGATTGTTTGTTAGGTAAGGGGAGGGATAGATATAGCCTTCCCGGGTAGAAGAAATTCAACTTGATGGGCCTCATAGGATTATTAAAAAAAATTATGGTTTTTGTTGTTTACCATAACTGAAAAAATTATGTGATTTATTTCCCCGTTTGCACTTCAAATTAGCTTGATTATGTCCTCTGGTAGAATTCTTCCATATTTGCTGGGCCAGAACTTCATGTACAGTCCTCAAAATAAAAATAAAAATGAAATACGGTCTTGATGGTGGTAGTCTATTGACAATTGACAACACAAAAGAATCATTGCGTAGTGAAAAATTTGCAAAACTAGCAAATTGTGTGGTGTGAATACAAGTGAAAAATTTATGACAAAAAATTCATTTATTCTTTGACGGTGTATAAGCTAATTATCTAATTCATTTCTTTTTGGCTAAAACACTAGTTCAGTAAAGTATGAGGCTCAGCCCCTGATTATATATATATAAGAGTGAAATCCTCTTTGACTGCTTTACAACGAAATGGTAAGCTGTCCTTACCTTGAGGACTTTGGAAGTATCATTTTGTGGCTCCATGTTATTTTGTTAAATTGATGCCGATGAGATCACTAAAAATCATTCTCATTATCATCAAAGTGACGGCTTGTGTTTTTCAGTATCTTTTTTACCATTTATGTTCTCCTGAATCTCAGCTATTCATTCTTTTGTTTTTGTAAGATATTCAACTACCAGAGCTCCATGTGTATTGGT